ATTGAATAGAGAGAGAGAGAGAGAGACAGAGAGAGAGAGAGAGAGAGAGAGGGGGGGAGAGAGAGAGACAGAGACAGACAGAGAGAGAGAGACAGAGAGAGAGAGAGAGAGAGAGAGAGAGAGAGAGACAGAGACAGAGACAGAGACAGAGAGAGACAGAGAGAGACAGAGAGAGAGAGAGAGATCTCCACTGCATGAAGCACGTGCATCAGTACGACTGTCATTGATTTACAGATGTCCTTCACCACTGATATTCTTTTACCTCCCTCAGTATTTACATTAGTGTGTCTGATCGCTGCGTCAGCACGCGCATGGGGATCGGCGCGCGCTGAGGAGCAGCTCAGAGACGCGCGGGCGGTGAGGAGCGCAGTCTTTGCTCAGCCGGCATGTGGATTCATTCCCAGAAAATCCTGCATGGGGACGATTACGCACGGATTTAAAAACAAGAGGCTTTGGATCATGACTTTTGGACACATGTTTCTGGACGTCAGCGTTTTTTTGGATATGATTTTAGTCTTTTTGAAGATAATTTTGTATGTTTGTTCCACGATAATAGGTCAGTAAATACCCCACTGGTGGATTGAAAAACGTCTCCAGACAAGAGTGAGCGACGTGTGCAAAGACTTAAAAAGTTCTTCTTCACTTTCTAGCTTGCTTTTTTTCTTTAATTCCCATTCACAGAATTCCTGCATGGACGGGTACGCGCGGATTAAAAAACCCACAGGATTTTGGATCATGACTTTTGGACACATCTTTGGAAGTTAACATGTCTGGAGAATTCATGGATACTAACTATGAGGGCTCGGGGGGGATTGTGTTTCCTGCAAACAACAGCTGCGTTTTTAACAGCAGCAACCTGTCCTCCTCTGACCGGGACTACTTTCTGCCGGACTTTAATAAAACCTACTCTGTTGGAGACGGCGCGGCGATGGTGCGCATCATCATCTCCATCATCTACTCTCTGGTGTGCGCGCTGGGTTTATTGGGGAACTTGCTGGTGTTGTATCTGATGAAAACCAAACAGGTGTGGAAGAAATCCTCCATCAACCTGTTCGTCACCAGTTTGGCGGTGACAGACTTCCAGTTCGTGCTGACGCTGCCTTTCTGGGCGGTGGAAAACGCGTTGGATTTCACATGGTTGTTCGGAAAAGCCATGTGTAAGATCGTGTCCTACGTCACGGCCATGAACATGTACGCGAGCGTGTTTTTCCTCACGGCCATGAGCGTCGCGCGCTACTGGTCTCTTGCCTCCGCGCTCAAGGGTCACAGGAGGCGCCCGCGGTGTTGTTCCGCGCGCTGCATCACTGTCTGCATCTGGTTCGCCGCTGTCTCTGCCGCTCTGCCGCACGCGATTTTCTCCACCACAGTGAACGTGTCCAGTGAGGACTTGTGTTTGGTGAAGTTCCCAGAAGCAAACGGCACTGCGCAGTTCTGGTTGGGACTCTACCAGTCTCAGAAAGTGCTGCTTGGGTTTGTGTTTCCTCTGTGCGTAATTTCCGCATGCTATTTGCTCCTTTTACGCTTCATCACCTCCAAAAACATCAACACGTCGAGCGCAAAGCGGCGCGCAAAGGTCACCAAATCCGTCACCATCGTAGTCCTTTCCTTCTTCCTCTGCTGGCTGCCCAACCAGGCGCTCACAGCATGGGGCATCCTCATCAAACTCAACGTGGTGCACTTCAGTTATGAGTTCTACACCACGCAGGTGTACGTGTTTCCGGTGTCAGTGTGCCTCGCGCACTCCAACAGCTGTCTGAACCCCATCCTGTATTGCCTGATGAGGCGCGAGTTCAGGAAGGCGCTCAAAAAGCTCTTCTGGAGGATGACGTCACCGGCGATCCGGCCCTTCACGGGCACTTCAGAGCCTCTCATGGACGAGCAAGGGCAGGTGATCGTGCCCGTGAGCGCGCCCAGGGAGCCCGTGGTGGAGTTTTACCCCCCGGGGGCCGTGATGTACAATAACCTGCCGTCAAACAGCACGTAGTGGAGGCAGACTGTGTTCTATATTGTGTTTAAGTTTGTTAATACAGAGTCTTGAAAACTAAGGCTGAGTTCAAGAGGTTTTTATTTTTTAAAAAGCAAGAAAATATGAACTTCATCTAAGCTGGACAAACTATGGAAGACTGTTAATGCCAGAAAAAAAGGTGTTCTTATTTTTGGGATTTATATTTTATTTCCAGAATTAAGACGTGATGTGAAGGAGGTGGAGAATAAACTTCAAAAGTCAAATTGTAGATAATAAATATTGAAATATTGACAATAAAATGAACATATTTTACCGTGATTTAATTGTAATACAGGTTTAAAAATGATGCTGAAGTAACAACATACTCATACCGGTTAGTAAAAACCAACCAACAAGTCTGCAGACAGACGGCCGGCGAAAAACCTTTTAAAATGCGTGTTTTCTGAATGGAGATCGGCTAAGCTAACACAGTATATGCTCCGACCGTCCACACTCACAACAACGGCCTACAGACATAAATAAACCAGCGACTGTATTCACCATGACACAGACTGTCTGTGGTTTGTACTTGTTTAACTTTTGTCTAGTTTCTGAACAGATATGAGGAGCTTTGAGCTCTGAGTGCTAACAGCTAACGGCTGATGTTGGTTTTGTGGTTCTCATTGAAGATGACGTCACGGATCCGCCTACACTGCGTTACTATAGTTACTGCCCCGGCTACTAAACTGTAATGGAAATGCAGCATAAAGTGAGCCTGGCCTACCAAGGCCTAACTATACCGTACTAAGCCGTGCGAGGCCCTGAAGTGGAAAAGCGCCTTTATAGGGCCGGACATAACCTGGGTTTGTTTTTTGGATTTTGAGAAAAAAGTCTAAACGTGAAGGATGTGGAGTTTAAAGTTGAAATGTAAAGAAAAAGGTCTATATTTCCAGAATAAAGTTTTAATGACAGGAATAAGGTCGAAACATGAAGGATGTGGACAATATATTAAGTATATAAGTTAGAATTAATGTTCAAAAAATGACAATTAAGCTGAAATATCAACAATACATGGATATTTTGAGAATACTTTTGAAATGTTGAGAATAATGTGAAAAGTTGTAACGTAAAGGACGTGGAGCTTAAACTTGAAATGTAAAAAAAAAGTCTAAATATTGAAATTTAAAATAAAAAAATGTAAAGTGAAAAATATGAACTTCATCTCACGTGGGCATGCTATGGAAGACTATTAGTGCCAAAAACGTGTTTTTATTTCAGGGATTTTTTTAAATGTCAACAATAAAGTCATAACGTGCGGAAGATGTGGAGACTCAATTTGAAATGTAAAAAAAAAGTCTAAATATTGAAATGTAAGTTGGATTTTTTTAAAAGCGAGGAAAATATGAACTTCATCTCAGCTGGACAAACTATGGAAGGCTAATAATGCCGGACATACACTGGTAGACACGTGAAGGATGTGAAGTTTAAACTTGAAATGTTAAAAATTGTTAGAAATTTAAATTATAATGTTTTAATGACAGGAATAAGGTCGAAACATGAAGGATGTGGACAATATATTAAGTATAGAAATTGGAATTAATGTTTAAAAAATGACAATTAAGCTGAAATATGAACAATACGTGGACATTTTGAGAATACTTTTGAAATGTTGAGAATAATGTGAAAAATTGAAACGTAAAGGACGTGGAGTTTAAACTTGAAATGTTAAAAATAGGTCGAAATTTAAATGATAATGTTTTAATGACAGGAATAAGGTCGAAACGTGAAGGGTGTGGAGAATAAAGTAAACATGTAAGTTGGACTGAACGTTGAAAAATAGACGATATGAACAAATAAGTCAAAATGTAGATAATAAGTCAGAATGTCGAAAAAAAAGTTGACATTTTGTGAAATAAGTGGTAACGTGCAAGATGTGGAGTTTAAAGTTGAAATGTAAAAAAAATCTAAATATTGAACAAAATAGTCAAAATGTAGATGATAAAAATGTGAAATTCTGAGACTAAAAAGTGGAAATGGCAAAAACAAAGTATGTGACGGATGTGGAAGATGACGTTTAAATATTGTGAATAAAGTCACACTGAAAAGTCCATATGTTGGGAATAAAGAGAACATGTTGCTGGAGTACAAGTTGGATTATTCAAAAAGCTGCTCACTGAAAGACTACGAGTGCCGGACTGATTTTGGACTGTTTTATGTTACCCCAGGTGTGTGTGTGTGTGTGTGTGTGTGTGTGTGTGTGTGTGTGTGTGTGTGTGTGTGTGTGTGTGTGTGTGTGTGTGTGTGTGTGTGTGTGTGTGTTAAAGTAATGCATGTGTGTGTGTGTGTGTGTGTGTGTTAAAGTGATGCGTGTGTGTGTGTGTTAAAGTGATGCATGCGTGTGTGTGTGTGTGTGTGTGTGTGTGTGTGTGTGTGTGTGTGTTAAAGTGATGCGTGTGTGTGTGTGTGTGTGTGTTAAAGTGATGCGTGTGGCTGTGTGTGTGTGTGTATTTGTGTGTGCGTGTGCGTGTGTGCGTGTTTGTGTGTGTGTGTTAAAGTGATGCATGTGGCTGTGTGTGTGTGTGTAAATTAGATAACAATAGAAAAGCTGCATAAAATGAATCCTATTGCTTTAAGCGGCTTAATTGAAAAAGATAAATACAACACTTATCACAGGATGATGAATACACACACACACACACACACACACACACACACACACACACACACACACACACACACACACACACACACACACACACACACACACACACACACACACACACACACACACACACACACACACAATAACACACAGACTGATACTTTCAGTCTTACTGTTGTTAAGAGCTAGGTGGAATATTTTGTCATTTTCAAAGAAACAAGAGAAGCAAAACTGATCTTTGTCTTCATTTCATTATTACTAGGCGTCAGTGAGTATGTGGAAATTCAAAATAGACAATGACATTATTAACGACAGATTCCATTAAGCTCACATATGACCACACTCAGTGCAGAGGAGAGTGTTTTACTGTAAATGTGGAGTGTGTGTGCACCTTTAATCTACATTATGCTGCAAGCAAATGCAGACGTTTGACTTTCTTCCACTTGTGCAAAACAATATTGCTGAATAATCTTGGATCAACATTTGAGAAAAAAGATGCACAATTCAAAATGATCATGCAAAAACCAATATGTGGAGAAGATGAAGCGTTTGGTTAATACTTAATGCAAGATTAGGTGACAGGTTTCTGCTAAATCTAGAGATAATGTGAAAAAAAATGTTTTTCAACCACAGTCATGTTTCCATCTTCATCTTGAAAGCGCTGACCAAAATGCTGATTGAACACAATTTTAAAGCCATTCTCAGCAGATCTGCGCTCGGCTTCCTCTGCCAGTAAATCACAATGGAAGATTATATGTATTCACCTACACACATGCGTGATACCATCATATAATTTATTGAAACCAAACCACAGCAGTGATTATAATAATTCAGAAAGTCTGAAACTTAATTTCTAATTAAAGGTCAATGCTGATGTTGAATCAGATGATTAAATAAGTGTACATGACAAAAGCAGAGGTAATACAGACTAACAGATTCACACAGGAACAAACTACTCATCTTCTGAATTTCTACAGAAGCAGGCTAATTTGCCTATTTTCCAACCCATGCTATTAACATAATAATCTGAATTACTTCAAGCGCAGAGATCAATTGTTTCCATATGAGGGGCATTTTCCATTACAGTACCTTCACATCACATGGAGGGGATTGAACATGATCTGAAGGAAAGACCACCTCACACTGAGTGACACACACATGCCCCCAACACAGGTACAGTTCAGATTGTACAACTTCTGGGGAGAAAACACCAAACTGAAGCCACAACAATAAGAAATATGACAGCGATTTGAATGGGTTAGGTGTGAGTAGGACGTTGTGAGTGGATGAGAAGAAAAATGACTTGTGTGTCACTCACAGGGCTTTTACCAGAGGAAATGTCTCCACAGATGAAGAAAAACATCTCTGTGGTTTCACCCACATGTTCTAAGGTGTTTCACATCCATCTGTGTGACAGTATATCCCTCGATGTGTCTATATGTGACATGCAGTAGGTTTTCCAAACCCTTTTTAATAAATGTGTTTTGTTTTCTACACATTTCTTTGTCTGAAAAATGCTAAATCATCTAAAAAAGTAACTGCAACGGATCAATGTGATTCCCTTTTTTCTGAAAGGCAATATTGTGTTTGTCACTGTAACATCGGCTGTTCTTTTCTCTATCATTTAAGTATTTTACTGTTAAATCAAAACACCCAAATCTTCTCGTTACGGACCTGATAATCGGCAGGCTCTATTATTCTAACACGATTCTTAAATGCTGCTTCATTATGAGCAAATGTATTTAACCCTTGTGTTGTGTTCGAAAGCTGTTACCGTTCATGGTGTTCGTGGGTACATTTTGAACCATGATTTATCTCAGTTCAAAACAATCAAAACATTACTATCATCCAATATTGTTTAAACTACATCATAACTAACTTATTATGCATTTATAACCGTACCATCCTGTTGTAATTTAATGTTACGGCCCAAAACACATTACACCACTTGAACACGTGCATGCGTGAGTTCAGGTTCAAGTGTTCCCGTGGGGGGAGGGGGGCAGAGGATCTGGAGACCAGGTGCATGTAGCGGAAAATTATTGTTACAGTGGATGAAGGGGGTGGGGGAGGGGTGTCTAAAGTCAAAGATGAATGTTGATTGGGCCAAATTTGACCTCGAGTCACCCAAAACAATTCTGCTGGGTCTCCCCAGACCCCAACACCAAATTATACACTTTTATTTTTAGAGACTTTCAGACTTGGCTAAAAATGTCAAAATCTGTTCTGTAGTGTTTATATAGCTGTTGTGGAGGATATCATGAAGCCTTGTTCCGATAAAAAAATATCGGATATAATTTTAACTTGAAACGGGTCACGGGAGACCCGAACACAACATAAGGGTTAAATGTTATATATGTAGTATATATTAGAAAGAAATAAAGAAGACAGAGAGACACAATCTCACCTAGAAACTGAGATAAAAATAGGACTATAATCTGGTTCTACATGTAAACATCAGTCGTCAGATACTGTTTATTGATCAAAGGATTGTTTTATTAGATGCTTATTTTCCTGAAATTGCAAATTGTATTGAAAAGATAAAAGCAGTAGCTTCATGTACACACACAAAGTTATGTAGAATGACGTAATGTATGTACAGATTGATCATTTCAGTATTAAAAATGTATTAGGAGGCGTGTGGCGTAGTGGACTAGTGCGTTGGTGTTCAGATCAGGTTCAAACCCCACTGCAGTCAGCATGTCGTTGTGTCCCTGAGACACTTCACCCCAAATTGCTCCTGTGGGGATTGTCCACAGTACTGAGTATGTAAGTCGCTTTGGATAAAAGCGTCTAACATGTAATGTAATGTATTACAGCAATCTTTAATAGAAACAGAAATAGCCTACTTTAAGGACACTTTAATAAACGTTAATTATCAACAACTATAGAAATATTTTTATATTATCACAAATGGGTTGCTCTATATTGTAATTGTTGACAAATACAATAAAGAAAATGTTAATTTCCATTAGTTTATGAAAGCGTATAAAAGCTAAATGTAAGGATAACCTTAAAGTTAAGTGTTCCTAATCAGGATCAAACAAGTATTTTAAACACAATCAGAGCACCAGTTGTTAAACAGACATTACTCCATTAACTTGAATGTTTATTTTCTAATCTTAAACTACATTTAGTAAAGTATGCTGATCGTATACAGGCTATCTTACAATCATTTGAATGGCAGTGTCAGCATGTTTCTATTACAGCAATATCAGAACTGACGAGAAGGGGAAAAAAGAATGGAGGTGATGAATCACTCTCATGAAAATCCTTCAGAAGAAGACACCAGGTTTCTGGATTGTGATTGTGATGGTGAGGATGATGATGATGATGATGATAATGATGATGATGTTGAGAGTCCGTTAAGCATCAGTTGTAACGCAGATGACTGGCAGTGACGGTGGAGCACTGGCAGTGGTTGGTGTTTTGTCATTTCGGTTTCAGAGCAACAACTCGAGCTTCCGTGAATGAAACTGAAGGGATTTGTAAACAAGAACCATTTAGCGCAGTTTGGAGATTTACTGTAAAGAAGCCTAAAGCTAATTTAGTGAAGATTCGGTCATATAAACACAATATTATGATGTAGGCCTACAAATATAGTTTTACTGTAGTAGATAATACTGTGCAATGTTCCTTTCCGGTGCTCGTGTCCTGTGGCTTACATAATTACCTTTTCATTAGATATTCAAGGTATAGTTTTCCAGAAAGGATCATATTTTTCACGATGTTTTGCTGATTACGTTTTTTGGAATTTGTAATCACATATTATGCCACGAAATCTTACATCACTTTTTCTACACATTTTTCACGACATGCTATACTATGACTTTTTTAATAAACTTTATTTATTCCATTCTATAGCCCTTTTAGCTAACTTAACCATAAAAGTTATTTATTTATGACTTTAACCAACATATGACTTTTAAGGCCTTTTTTTTTTACGTTTTCCATGTATTTATTTTCATAGGCCTTGCACATGTATCCACATCACTGTAAATGAGCCAGTGTTACCCAAAGGTTTATTTTCAGCTCTTTTAAAATGTCTTTACGTTAAAATGACACTACGGTGTAACAGTTGAGTTTAAAAAAAACAAAACATTTTCCAACCTGTGCTTATTTCATAGAAACATCTTAAAAACATTGTTTCAGTAGTTCACACATTGAACATGTATAATATAGCAAAATGGCTATCCTAGTGTAAATGTTTTTTTTACTTATTGGGGGAAACCCAAAAAGCGTTACAGCTGTCCCTGGTCTCCCTACTAAAGGGAAGGTGTTGAGAGTAATACATATTCAATTTCAAGAAAACAAGGTATCAAACTCTGCCCAGAGAGAGGATGTCTACCTTGTTTACATCTTGTTCCTGAAAGCTTTTGAGTAACGTTAGATATTGTTTCACACATGTATGTTTTGTGAAGAAGGAAACACAGAGAGAGAGTAGAGGGGAATCCGTGGGTCTCCCTGTTTACTTCTCTGTCTGAAACGTTCCATGCTGACACACACACACACACACACACACACACACACACCACATCAAAGTGTGGCGTGAAGCTGAAGTCACGTGATCATCGGAGGAGCTACCAAACCCCCACGCGCTCATAAAAACCTCATCAGATCAGAAAGCACATCAGAAAGCACATCAGAGACAGAGGAGGAAGTGGAAACAGAGCAGGTTCAAGTGAAAGAAAGAGATTACAGTGACATTATATCAAACGATTAAAACAAAGATGCCGTTGGAGTATTTCCTCTTTGGGCTGATAACCTTTCTTCTGGCAGGTAAATATGTTGTTGTTTTTTAACCCCCCCTGTGTGTATATCATTTGTCTTAAATTATATGTGAGATGTTCATTTTTATTTGGCACATTTTCTTTATTTGATGTTTTATTTTCTTCTTTCTTCCTCAGGGGTGGAGTGTGATATAACGGAGGTGTTTGTTGAAGCAGGCTCTCAGGCTGTGTTACCCTGTAAAGGAAGCATTTCATCCAGCGTGATTCCCGCGATAATCTGGACTAAAGCCAATAAAGGGTAAAACAACTTCATGTTTGCCTTCTCCTTCATCCTTCTCCTCTTTGTATGCTGATGACTCTGCTCTCGCATCTTCATCTCCTTTATGCGATCTCTCCTCTCTCAAAATCCCACACCATCTCCAAACTGTCCTCCTCATAGCACTATATTTTAGATTTTAGCATATGTTTTCCAATAAAGACATAACAAGAAATAACCTCAATACAACTAACACAATAAAATAAAAACAGTAGAAGTCGGGTGGGAGGATGCTTTACAGTACAGATTACAGATACACTTTTTTATTGTTATTATTGTTTGTAAGTATAGTTTCCCGTTACTCCTGATAGATTATTGGTGCCCAGAGTGAATATTATGGGTCTTTTTTTATTACAAAGAGAAGCGGCCATGATGATTTGAGTCCTTTTAGTTTTGAATAGGCCTACTTTTCTGGGTGATAACATTTTCGTCTTGTTTTGTCTTTTGTATATACGTATGTTCTCATAATTATTTGTACATCCCTGTAGCCTAAATATGCTGATAGCTTAGATCAGGGGTGTCAAACTCAATTTAGTCGCGGGCCACATCAGCAACATGGCTGCACTCAAAGGGCCGGTTGTAACTTATAATATATATATAAAATAATGTATTATATTACATTTTTGCCTCTGCATTGGATTATTATTGGATAGGGTNCTCCTGCTGATGTTCAGGTGTATATCAGTATGTAGTGTCTCTACTTTAAAGAGTCCTCTCCTGCTGATGTTCAGGTATATATCAGTATGTAGTGTCTCTACTTTAAAGAGTGCTCTCCTGCTGATGTTCAGGTGTATATCAGTATGTAGTGTCTCTACTTTAAAGAGTCCTCTCCTGCTGATGTTCAGGTGTATATCAGTATGTAGTGTCTCTACTTTAAAGAGTCCTCTCCTGCTGATGTTCAGGTGTATATCAGTATGTAGTGTCTCTACTTTAAAGAGTCCTCTCCTGCTGATGTTCAGGTATATATCAGTATGTAGTGTCTCTACTTTAAAGAGTCCTCTCCTGCTGATGTTCAGGTGTATATCAGTATGTAGTGTCTCTACTTTAAAGAGTCCCCTCCTGCTGATGTTCAGGTGTATATCAGTATGTAGTGTCTTTACTTTAAAGAGTCCTCTCCTGCTGATGTCCAGGTGTATATCAGTATGTAGTGTCTTTACTTTAAAGAGTCCTCTCCTGCTGATGTCCAGGTGTATATCAGTATGTAGTGTCCCTACTTTAAAGAGTCCTCAGTATGTAGTCATTGTATCTCTTACTTCCTTTTTCATAATCAGAAGAAATCTCTTGAAAGCATATGAGAAATCTAGTTCACTGACAGAAACCCTGAAAAGAGAATTCCTCGAGCGCTTCATGTTGATAAAGAACTAACATTTTTTGAAATGCCGGCAGAAATGTCAACGATGCCTTCAGGCGCAGCTCGTTCTTTTCTCCAGACGTCAGGGAATATTAAAAGCCTCGCAAAAACTGATCCTCCTTGGAGTGAGGACTGAAAAATAATGAGCAGAAAAGACGGATAACGTGTGTTCTTCAGGTGAAAATCAATTTCTGCCGGTAGCTAAACCTGTAAAGGTCCTCCTGAAACATTCTGCTTTACAATAATGCTTCCTGATATCTTTTTCCCCTCCAACAAAAGTTGCACTACCTTGTTAAAAATTATTGAAAACATTGAGATGCTGTAGCCTACTTGTCAGAAAGCTGTACAAAGGATCTAATCCATTTTTCTGCAGGAAATTGGAATTTAAGTCCTCCTGCAACTCTCCAATAAACGCATTTCTCAAGATGTGGGATGTGTTATTATGATTTCCAGTTGCATTCTTGTCTATTTGGTTTAATCAACAACATGCTGACCTTATTCTAGGTTAAATTTACCTTAGATTTTGTCTAAATGTACCCTTAGTTTGAGTGCGTGTTTCTTTAAGAACCTTCTAGAAAGCCCAGTCTGCTCTGATTGGTTAAATGATAAAATAAAATGCACGTTACGCAACTGGTTATTTAAAAAAGAAAAAAGCTCTTATTATGAAATGTGGAAATCCCGTCATCAGCTGGTCGTCACATGATATCCAAAAAAGGGCTAAATGTGATGGGTAGATTTAAAATCTCAAAAATAAAAGTGAGATATTTTGCACAAATGCAATCTATTATATTTGTGAAAAAAACCCCACATTATTTACCTCCAACTTTCTGTCTAAATGTACCCGTTTTCACCCTTATTTTTAGTGCCTGTCTCTTTAAGAACCCTTTAGAGCAGGGGTGTCAAACTCAATTTAGTCGCGGGCCACATCAGCAACATGGCTGCACTCAAAGGGCCAGTTGTAACTTATAATATATATATAAAATAATGTATTATATTACATTGTTGCCTCTGCATTGGATTATTATTGGATAGGGTGATAACTTCATAATTAACTACGTCTGAAAGTAGAAGTTTGAGGCAAATAATTGCAAGTCTCTTCAGTGAGAATGTCACAAAATGATTTCAAAAGAAAAGCTGGGGAGAAAAAGTCCAAATCAAAAAACAGAAGTGATATTTAAAAAGAAAAAAAAGAGTCAAATTATGAGAAAAGGGCACATTCTAAGAAAGAGGCATATTTAGAAGAAAGAAAGTCAAATTCTGAGAAAAAAAGTCTAATTTGAGATGCATTGTGGGACATGTAGTTTATGGGCAACGTGCTTCATTAAATCATCATGTAACCGTATAATAAACATATTATATTCTTTGCAAGCTCTTGTGGGGCCACAGAAAATGAAGTCACGGGCTGGATTTGGCCCCCGGGCCTTGAGTTTGACACCCCTGCTTTAGAGAAAGCCCAGTCTGCTCTGATTGGCTCGTGAGAATATTAAACAAGTATTTAAAAGTACTCACGTGCTGGATGGATGTTCTCCGACGGGGAGAGCCACATCTGAAGGGCTTGTTGAGTCACATGTTTTCACAAAAACCAACAGAATTATCTTATTTCCCAGTGTGAGGATTTGCAAAGTCTCCTAAACCCAGAAGTAAACAGCAACACCAAGAAAAAGTGAGATATTATTTTGGTGAACAGATTGCTGTCCTGTGTGTAATCTCTAAACACCTTGTAAAAAAAATATATTTGGCAAAATGGATCTGCTTATTGACAATGTGTCACAACTGAATAACAAAATGAAAAAGGCACGTTAGTTGCAACTGGTTATTTAAAATGAAAAAAACCTCTTATTTTGAAATCCCGTCATCAGCAGGCCATCGCATGATATCCACAAATGGCAGGGGTAGATTTCAAATCTGAAGCATAGAAGTGAGATCCTTTCCAATCTATTATATTTGTGGAAGGTGTTTTAAATGTACACATGGATTGTCGATCCTTTCACACAGTCATAAGGTTTTCATCGACATATCTACACCGTAGCTATCAATGTGTACAAATGACAATCAAAGCCTTGAATCCTCAGGATATAATAAAGAATCTGTATTTATTAAAACAACACCATAAAAACACTTTTACTGTACATGATCCATGAGTTAGTCCACGTATCTGATGAAGAGGGCGATGAAGATGCATCCGAACAGCTACTTTGTGATGTCATAACGAGACATCTAAAGTAACAGACAGAGAATCAGCACTTTGGAAACAGGGCTGAAACAGAGGGGATTATGGGTAATGCTGCAATGATCTGTTTGGTGTTTCGAGCCAAACGCTTCAGAGACATGTTTTGTATCGAGTTAGTCCACGTATTTGATGAAGACTGCGATGAAGATGCATCCGAACAGCGACACCACGGAGGCGGAGAGCGGCACCACGACCACGCTGCCCGCCAGGTTCACCAGACCTCCCAGTCCGGCGCCCACGAGGATCTGAGCCAGCTGCACCATGCAGGTGAGGGCGGCGCAGTCCACACCCGACCCCCGCTGAAGGCCTGGTAATCCCTGCAGCTTCAGTTGCTCCTGAACGCACCACGAGGAAACAAAAGAGGAAGAGGAGGGGGGTCAAAATCAGAAAAATTATCTGTATCTCAAATTACTTTATTTGAGATACAGATTTGAAAGAGGGTGAGAAGTTTGGGGTAATATCTCAGTATTAAAGCTGCGACAATAAATCACTAATCAAATATCTTGATGTAGAAAATGCTGTTGTTTACCTCAAACATGGAGATTTTCTTGCGTTTCTCAGTTTTAAATCATATTGAAATAATGTGTTTTGATTTTGGACTGACGAAACATTTAGAGACAGAACCTTGAGACTTTTGATAAACTATGATGGACTTTTTTCAATATTTTCTGACAACAAAAGTATGTGTTGGGGTCGGAGATTTAATCTGTGTTGCAGTATAAGTATCTTGGAATTATAATTGACAATTCGATCTCTTTTAAACCACACATTGTGGAACTCTTGAAAAAATTAAGAATAAAATTAGGTTTTTTCTTTAGAAACAAGTCTTGTTTTTCCTATGAGTCCAAAAAGAGACTAGTGTCTGCAACCTTTCTGTCTGTGCTGGAGTTTTATATGAATGCATTTTCTCAGTGCCTTCACTCGCTGGACACTGTCTACCACGGTGCACTGAGATTCATCACAAACCTCAAAACCTTGACGCACCACTGCAATCTATACACTCGTGTTGGATGGTCTTCCCTGACCACGCGTAGACTGAAACATTGGCACATCCTTATATATAAGGCTATTCTTGGTGCTCTTCCCCCCTATCTAAGAAAATGCACTGGATGTTATCGGCTTCGCTCCGAGAACTTTTTCCTTTTAACTGAACCAAAGGTCCGTACTGAACTGGGGAAAAGGGCGTTCAGTTAAGATGACCCTCAAGCTTGGAACCTGCTTCAAACTGGTTGAGAGCTGGTCTCATTAGAAACACTCAAAGCAACTTTAACTGACCTTGAAGCAGGCCGCTGTGTGTGTAAATGCTTTGGCTAAACTTGGTGTATGACTGTGTTGTGATTGTGTGTTTTTTAATTGTCTGTAACTGTAAAACTGTCTGAAACTGTGCTGTTACCATTCTTGGGCCAGGACTCTCTTGAAAAATAGATTTTTAATCTCAATGAGACCTATCCTGGTTAAATAAAGGTAAAAAACAATGCAAACATTTCAGAAAATACTTTTTTCAACTTGTCATATATGACTATTATCTGTTTTATATAATATTAAAGTACATTTATTGAGATTTTGGACCGTCAATACAAGAAATCATGGACTTGATGGGCATTTTCATATTTTTCTGATATTTAACTGACCACAAGATCACTACTTTATGTAATTTGAATTGCACAAATGTTTATTTGAAGCCTCTCAAATATGGAGATTATGAAGTAAATTAAGCGTAATATAGTAGGTGTGGGTAGGTAGAAAGCTAGACAACAGGTAACGTTACATAAACAACAAAAAACACATTTAAGTGAATATATGTAGCTCTTTCCTAATGCACAGAGCTATTTACAGATTCTTGTTTGAGTTACATTCCGTCAAACTAAGAGGGCAGCAGTATTACAAAGTGAAGGTCATTCATTCCTCCAGACGGAAACAATCAATATTTGGGTAAAAAGACCAGATCTTGGGAATTTTAAAAGAGCGCATATTTCTTTTCTAGTAGGCTATCTGGATTATTTTTCAGACGCTTCGACACACGTCTCGCGATACGTCTTAATGAGGGTATTTGAGACTGCTGGAGACTTTGAAAAAAGCAAAAGCGACCTTTTTACCAGCAACCTACTCCTAACTCTGGTATTTTATTATTTATTTACGAGTATAAAGCTTCTTACAGCCGATTATAATGCACCTCGCTCAGGGGTGGGCGCTCAAATAAGCTTCTTCTCTTCGTTGGCTACCACTCCTTCTTGGACTCCAGACCATCTTCAGCTGTATGCAACAGTGCGCTTCAATTTCACGGCTGACTTCTCATTCAACGTTGTAGGCCGAGGCTTTTTTGGAGAGCTTCCTCTCGGACTACTTTTCTTCTAACCTAAAATGGATT